GCAACAACAACAATAACAACAACAACAACAACATCTTTATTTTCTAAATAATTCAGTATAGTTATTCAAAGTGGCGGCTGAAGGCGATGTGGAACGAAAAGAAAAGCATCCTCCATACAGTGTAAGTATATAATCGCAGCTTCTTAACATACCACTCATCTGAAATAGTATTTTTTAGGGGTAGTCCATTTTAGGGTAGTCCATTTGGTTAGTCCACTAGGGTAGTCCATGGACTAGGGATCAGTGTTTTGTCCATCACTGGGTGAAAAGAATACATCATTCATCGTTCAAATCCCCCTTTTAATCGATCTTCTATATAAGTGATTACCCACATGACTAGCTGACCACTAGTTCACAGTTTCTATTCCATTTTGTAAACCACAAGATTGCAGTCTTATTATTACAGTTTTAGAGGTAATGTTAGGAAGGGAGACTAACTTACTGTAGTTGTAAACAGTTTGCTGTGCATGGTGAGGTATACAAGTCTTGAACAATTGAAAATGGATAAATCCTTGAAAATCAAATGGATGGGTTGATATAATTTATATAGACTGAATTAGTCAGTAAGTCAGTCCGTCTGAGTCAGAAGGGAATCAGTCAGTCAGTGAGTGGGTTGGTTGGTCATTATGCAAGTAAGACAATATAATTTATCGAGGGTTACATTTGGCAGTAGTTAAACCGATAACCTCAAGGCCCTCAAAATAAACAATAATAAATGACAAAAGAAAGTCATGGTAAATAAGAAAAAACCCTCTGTAACGCTGCAGTCTTAAAAAAGTACCTCTTGTTCACTTCTTCTTTGCTCTAACTTTGTCACTTCAGTTTCCATTAAACCCTGGAGATGTTGAAGTCCTTTCAATCTAAAACATAACCAGAGAGAATAACTGTGTAATATAAAGTGTTTTACTGAAAAAAAGAAGTCACAGGAAGTCTTAAAGTGTAAGTGCAAACGGGTGAGAAATAAGCAGCTCTACACTGTATCAACTAAATTTCTGCCAAGCAATTACCTCTTTTCTTCTACCTGTCGTTGGCTCTGGAGAATCTTGAATTGTTTCTTAAGATAAAGCACATTCACCAAAGTAAGTATAGTGTTAGCTTAGAGCCATTAGGACTCACTGTTCGCATGAGACATAAAACCATGTTACTGCTCCAGTTCAATGCGATTGTGGCATTTAAACTAGGCTAATTATAGGGATGTGCTGCTTGATTGCTTGATTGATAACTTTAATTATACATGGTAAAAATTCCTTCAGTACAATTTAAAAGTATAAAACATCTAATTCTGCCTAGCTGCTAGACAGAGTATGCTCTTCTAACATTTTAGTCTGTTCCCTGGTCTGGAAAAGGGTATCATTTCCCTGAAAATGAAGAAGTCTTGCTTACATCTCAGAAACAAAAGAGTTTTTTGCTTTGTTCAAGCAGATAAATCTGACATGTAATGCTTGATGTAGATTTTTCCTGTCATGAATGTTGAATAAAAACTATGTTGCTCATGAAAATGCTCTGTAATAGGGTAGTAACTTTATTTAGGCTGGATCAGGGGATCTATTTTTTCGGCATTTAGTCTAGAACAGGGTCTTGTACAGGGTAAGGGCTTTTAACTTGGAAAATATTGTTTTCCAAGTCGTAGTGGTGGCACAATTTCACTCCTTCACTTCCTGTTAGACATTTGGAAACCCGGGGCAGGGGGGGGGAACTCCCATATGAAAAGGTCAAGGATTCTCATCAGAAAATTTAACTTCTACAGGAGACTAATGTGAGCATCCTAAAGGATACTTTGACAGCTAAAAATGGTGACTTTTCGTCATCAACACCCTAAGTGATACCAGAATCCTTGATTTGTACCCGAGATGATGAGCATCCCCGACCTCTTCATATAGAAGTCCCCCCGGGGTTTTGAACATCCACCATCTAAGGCCATTTTACAGTTGCTTGTACTGTGTCAAGGTAGTTATTTTCGATAGGTAGTGTGTGAAACAATTTTTCCATTGTAAGGAAAATACTTATGGTTCTTCAGCCTGGTTCTCATGTCGCTGACCAACCTGCAGTGTAGTCGCCGGTTCCAAGAGACAATGTTCGGCGATCTGTTCCAGTGGGTCCCCAGCACATCTGTGATGGATTGCCGACATACTCAAATTGGGGTGAAATGCAAATCCAATTGGGGCAATTTTCGACCATTTTATCTGTAAAGCATGAGATTGTGGGAAAAAAATCGAGTTGTTACGTCATACGTTGCATCTGCAGGTGGTCCAGACGACGCTCACATACAATATTTTCATTGCCGACAATCGCCAACAACTACTGGCTTGCCTGCAAAGTTGAACTCAGCTCAACTTTGCAGGCAAGTCGATGGTCAATGCCTGGGACAGATTATGATTCGGCAATAAATGCTCAGATATGCTGTGGCGGTGTCCCAGGTTGTGCCGGTGGCTATGTCTCAGGGCATATGAGAACCAGGCTTTCCTTAGCAATTGGATCTAGAAAAAGTTTTCGTGGTTTTCCTTCACAAACCTACGTGATATTGTGAGTTTGAAAGCAATCATTATAAATGAATGATTAAAAGCTCCAGACGATTGTTTAAATGCAAGAGACGGAAAGACAAATGTTACCTTTCGGTAAATGATTTCCTGACAGAAAGAGAAAAAACATTGAAGAAGAAAAGGAAAAAAATCTCGAGTCACCTCTAGGATTCGAACTCCCATAAGCATGCTAGGCCAGCATTATCACACTGAGCTACTTGTTCATTGGATTTCGTGAGGTGAAAGTATCAGTTATATATCTACATACTGAAGTGCTGGGTAGTTACCACAGCAGGCTCAAGTGAGTTCCATGTCGAGTTTGTTGAAGTGGAGGTGACACGATTTACTCACAAACTGAATTGTTTTAATGCGTGCATTTCTCATTCGTGGATCTATTAAGAAATGGTGTCATTTGACAGACTCAGTGGAATTGCGAGGTGACTTACAGCTTGATGTACTGTTATTTAAAATGACTACGTTTGGACACAAACTATGAATTAGTGGACTTGCATTAATTTATGGAAAGAGAGTTAACTTCAGTCCTTATATTAGGGCTACAAGTAAATGTAAGTACTTGAACTCAACACTATAAAGGACATGAAATTTCAATGTACAATATACAACCTACTTTAAAGCTGACTGAAATGGATTGTCCTGTCTCATATATCACTTGGCAAAAATCCATGCTATTTAACCTTAATTTATGAGAGTGTATCCTAATATTGTGTCCTGACTTCAGCCTACTGAATTTTTATTCTTAAATTGTAGTGTTATCATACTGAACTTTGCAGTATATACCCTGCGGCTGTAACACAGCATCATCGCATTGATAACTTAGCAAAAACTGCATAATCTGCATGTCTAAAGACTGTTACCTAAATCAGTAAATATTTCAGTGGATCTGGTACAAAAAAAACTACGTTTCCAATAAAAGGACTGTTTATCGTGATCCCAATCTTGTTCAACTTTCTAGTTCAATCTATTTAAAAAATACTAATTAACAAATAATTATTTAAACAAAGGATTTTCTCGAATTTTACAACGAACAAAATCCATGCTTGCATCTAACAATCTTAAGCCAACTTAAAGCTAGCTATAAGGAAGTATTGGACATTGCTCCTAGTCTATACATCACTTTTGACCAAACAAAATGATCTTGCCGTTTTTGACTACAGCACTAGGACGACATGTACAGATGCATGTAATGTAAATCGTGTTAGCAGGCCTGAGTAACAAATAGTTTCTTAACATTGAATTGTTTCGTTTTGCAAATATCACAACACACTCTTGAGTGGAGAAAGGCTTTATGGGCTTGTTTGAAAGCTACGCTGCCCTCACATAACAAGTAGTTCCTTAATGAGCAATGCCTCATTACACTCTTTCATAATTTATTTTCCAAGTTGAGTGGCTCACAGCCACTTTGATTATGGTCAAGCAGCACATCCCAATCCAGTGGTGGGGGGTAACCCCAGGGGGTTGAATTCATTCAAAAATTAGACACCATGTCCTGTCAGTCAAGGAAGAGAGCTGCTCATTACCATAAATAACAGTGTGAAACATTTTCATCCTAAAGAAAACGGGAAATAAATTATGTTGAAAAAGCTTACAAATGTTACCTCCATTCCATCTACAATCAAACTTGTTTTTTCCATCTGCTTTCGAAGGCCCTGTACTTGTTCTGAAAACTGTCTCTTGTATTTTTCCAAGGCACCATAACTGTTTTCCACCACACCGAGTAAGAAGATAAAAAGAAAAAGAAATTGACAACATTAAGAATTTTACTGTATTAAGGCTATTTATTACAGTTACTATACCATTACATATCCCTTTTGAGACAGTCACTTTGACGTGGTGGGGAGGCTTGTGTGTTTCTGTGACCTGGAGAGCTTAGCTGGTGGGAGTGTGACTCTTGGCAGGGTCGCCCATGCCAGAAAGGTCAATAGGTAGAAACCAGACAAAGCACAGTCCACTGGTCCTCCTAGTAGGGGGTTGTGCATCAGGCTTACAACATGATCATAGAAAACAACATGTGCTACCAAAACTACACCAAGTTTGATCACCTTTCTGGAAGATGCAACAGGGACCAACACTTCACGAGAGGGATGTACAATGAACACCGGTTGTGAAAGCCAGCTGGAAGCCAGGGGTTGGCTGCCGTCATTCCTGCATCCTTGAAGAAGCAGATGAAGGTGGGATTCTGGAATATAAGGACAAGGCATGCCACAGGGAAGGCTGTGCAGGTGGCTAGTGAGATGAGGGGATATGAGCTTTAAATACTAGTTATTAGCAAAAGTAGATGGAACGGGTCTGGAAGAGTGAGATTACTGACAGGAGAGACAGTAATTTTCTCTGGGCAAGATGACAAGTTGCACTCCATCAGCAGGGAGTGACAATAATGATGACGGAGAGATCTGCAAAGAGCCGCATGGAATGTAAACCAGTAAGTGCCAGGCTACTTACTGCTAGATTCTACTCTAGGCTATCAGTAATACAGTACTATGCGCCAACAAATGAGACCAGCAAGGATGAGAAGAACGATTTCCACAAGCAACTGCAAGATCTGGTTGACGAAGTGTCATGACATGATCCACTGTTTTTTTTGGTGATTTTAATTAAAGGATTGGGAAAGACAATCAAGGTTTTGAGCATGTGATGGGAAAGGAAGGGCTTGGAGAGAGGAATGAGAATGGCGACCTGTTGATCAAGCTTTGTGATACAAAGCAATCTGGTTGTAGGAGGAAGCATTTTTCTCCATAAAGATATTCATAAGACCACATGGATATCACCTTCAGAACAGTCAAAATCATATTGATCATGTGCTTATCAGTAGAAAGTTTAGACGTTCCTTACTAGATGTTAAGGCTAGGAGGAGAGCTGATATTGGGAACGACCATGAACTGGTTACAATTAGAGAAAAGTTCAAACTTGCAAGGATTGCCAAACCATTTAGAAAGAGAACATTTTCTGTGGTAAGGCTAGGAGAGCAAGACGTCAGGGGTGTGTTTCGGATCAGTTGCGCAACTGATTTCAAGATTTAGACATGGACTGTGATGTGGACAAGGCTTGGAAGAACATAAAAGAAACATCAAAAACGAGTGAGGAGGTTCTGGTGTATAGAAAGAAAATGGCAAAGCCATGTTTAAGTAGAGAATCCTGGAAGAAGGTCAAAGAAAGTAAAACTGTTAAGAGGAAGATGCTAGGTACTAGGTTGAAGACAATCGAAACAAGTTACAGATAGAATATCACCTACGGATGCCGAAGTGAAGGGAAGTGTTAGAAAAGATAAAAGAGCATTTGTGGATAGTAAAGGACATGAAGCTTGGAATGATGCAAGTTGTCAAGGTTCAACACAAACGTAGACATCACAACCATGGTGGAGAGCTTAAGGTATCATGGCAGGTGATTTCTTACGAAAAATGCGAAATCTTTTTTTGCTGTTCAAATTCAGAAGACTGAGATAAATATTTTGCAAAAAAAAGGTAAAAAAAGCATTTTAGTGTTTTAGATAAAGAAAAAACTATTTTTGAATCTTATCAACCCTTTATGGTGCATTGACACCACTAATTAAACTTCATCGCCAGTTGTCACGTGTCATGCGAATTGTGGTGTGATATTTCATTTGTGCATGCGAACTGTTCTTGATCTGGTTGTTTAATCGCAAGTTAGCTTTCATCCTTGTCAAATTTTCTTTGTCAGGATGAAAAGTTTTTGCCCATTTTCATCTTTGAAGAAGCTGAAGAGGCAAAAATCTGGTGAAACCCACAGATTCAGTGCCGAACAGGATCTTTAGCTCTGAGCAACCACGGGTTGCACTGTAATCAAGAAGAATGGTTAAGGGAACTCGAGGACACCAGTCCCACCAATGAAGCTGAAGGACAAACTACAACAAGTGCTAGTTGCATGAAATTGCTGGAGAAACGACGTGATTCTGAAACAGGGCTCGAAATTAAAAAAAATGTCTGGTTGCAAATTTGCAATTAGTTACAGAAATTTGGTCGCAACTTTTAAAATGTTGGTCGTGAAATTAATTGAGGCCGTTTAATTAAGAAATAAGTAGACTTTGAAATGATTAACGCTTTAATTTTCATTGTTTCAACAGCTCTCATGTCATTTTGATATTTAATAGTACTGAACGTTTAATGTCTTAGACAACACTAGTCCATCTAAACGATCAAGTTGAACCTGTGTACATAAATTAAGGCCCGTTCCATAAATTATGGCACATAAATTAGTGCCTGTTATTTTAGTCAAAGCGATAGATTTCCAAATCATGAACAGATATTACAGCTGGAAACTGCAGTTCTTATATGCCTCACATGTACTGGGCAGAAATATTAGCTTATGTAACAAAATTCCTTTAGTTTTACCTTTGCAGGTTTTCCACCAATGACAAAACAAGTAACAAATTTTTTTTATATTAGACTTTACACCTGAAGTATCAGGGGTGTTACTGAAGTGATTATTCAAAGAACCCTGAAGGACTGAATCATTCAATACGATACGTGCCATGACTCATGCACCAGGGCAATCCGCCATCTTTGTTTGCTATTAAACCTTGTTTTCATGTATACGTAGAGTCGTACTCCACTTGATTGGAACCGCATTATTTTAAATCTATTTGTCTTTTAACCGTTACTGTCAAACAAAGAAACAATGAAGCTGTAAGTACTCATTTTTTACCAACGAAAGTTATTGAATCAAGTTTTTCTGCTGTTTCTGTTCCTAGGATCTTGCTCAGTGACTAACGATTGTATGCAGTTGTTATTTAACTAAAAGCCATTTAGAAACCTTGAAAGAGGGATGGTGAATGATATCTAATCTCCGTGTAGAGTACTGCAAGAATGCAATTTTTTCTTACTTCTGGCTGTCAGCCTAACTCCTTGGTTATTTCAGCAACCATGAAAAACAAAAACAACAACAAACAACACATGCGATATGAATGTGACTTCATAAAAACAAAGAGAAGACTACATGATGTAGAGACCCAGTCAAAGAAAATTTGAGTATTTGACAAAATTTGGCTCTAAAATGCTTTGCAGAGATGCGAGACTCCATTCACTACCCCTTTAACAGTAACTGTCTGATCAAATACCATACACAGTTTTGTTAGTTATGCACAGCCACTGCTGTAATTCAAGCAATGAGGTCGTCGTGCCCTTTCTCCCTTAGATCTGTCACATTCAAACCTCTGGTTGACTGCTGGAATTGGATCAAATTCAGCGACAGCGGGACCCTCTGGTAACAGGCGAATCAAATCTTCCAAAACAGATACAGTCAAGGTTGCCCTGGTGCTGCTTTTAATTCGATTAATTCGATGCTGAGCTGAAACAGCATGCTCGCATTGTGCAGCAGAAATAGGGAGGACCAGAACTAGCTCCACTAGATGTAGGACATCTTTGAAATCGTTCTTGTAGGGCACTTTGGTCAGTAACGTCTGCCAGAGGCTGCCTAAATCAAGCTTGCGGAACTGCCCATTGACCATGATTTTTAGGGAAATCCACCGATCCTAAATAGCGGAGATCTTGCATCCTGCTCTATCTAAAATGGGCTGAAACCTTCGTGTCAAGTGAATGATTTCTTCACTGCCAAAATCGAGTAGGTCACCAGGGCGCATTGGCCAACTGTCAATGTTGAAAACTAGCATGTCGCTAACCACTTTCATTGAGTCATAACTCAGGCTTTTGCCTACTTGGCTCTTGCTACCTAGCAGCACACCAAACCTATCACAAAGACCTTGCAAAGTGAAAATCGCAGCGGTTTCCATTTCACACTGAAGGCTTCGTGATGTGCTTCCTCCTTGTTTGGCCACTTTACCATGGATGGAACCTGTCAAAGTCACCCCTTGAAATTTTTGACCGCCTTCCACCTTCTCCCAGAATTTGGTGAGATGGCCATCTGCCACTGGACAATGGGCAACACTTTCAACTCTCAGTACTGTTTCCTTGAGATGGGACATTACTGAGGAGAGTACAATATCATTTTATTGCAGTCGCAGACTCAGCTGACTGAGAATGGCGAACATGTCTGCCAAAAAATGACAAAATGCAGCGAAATGAATATCCTTCATCTTTTGAGAGACATGCTACGCTCTCCCCTGGATTTCTGCATTTTTGTAGTTGACACTGAGATCTTGCATATGCATCAGCACAGCAGCATACTGACCAGACTTGGACTCTGTGGCAGATTTATGGCTCACAAACACTTTGAGTGCTCGGCTAATGTGCGGAAGCTAGAGGGTCCCTTTGACTTGCGTTGGCTTCAAGATATTAATTTCTAGCTCATCCGCTATAGACTTCAAAGCCCTAACACTTTTAGAGCTATAATGGTATGTTTTCTAAATTAGATGGAGGATATGTACACATCCTCCACAGACTTGCAGCTGCCTTGGAGCTCTAGCAGGGCAAGCTCAAGCCTTTGAGGTAGACAATGGAAGTCAACAAGGTAAGAATTTCTTTTTTGAGTAATGCAGCAAGGCCTGCTTTACCAAGGTTAACGGAGGCCCCATCAGCCCCAAAAGCAGCCAGCCTCTCCTTCCAGTCTTTGACCCCCGCTTCTTCAAAGGTAGTACTGATAGACTCCTTTAGCCCTAAAATAGGTTTATTAAAATAAAACATGAACGGTCCACCCTACGACACTTGATTTAAGACAAAAGTATAAAAATAATTACACTACACAGTCCATCTGCCCATAAACCTTTGTTGAAAAAGGTATAAAGCTACTGCTGAACAGAGCTAGATGTAATTGATAATGTTTGCAGTTCCCCTCTGTGAAAGCACTTTGCTCTCATAGTTCTCTCTTCAAGTAATATTTAATGACACAAAGGCGGTTTTGAAACTATTAAAAATTACGTTTCTTAACACCTTAGCAGTTGAAATCCGAGTTGCATTTTAACTGTTTCCTGGGAACGAGTGTAATGCATAAGGGGCTATAGGGCTAAGTATTTTGCATTGTAAGTAGTTTTTTTGGTCTGTTAGTGTGGAAATAAATTAAAAAAAGTGTCTTTCTGGTACAATGGTTCCTTTGTCAATGATTGGGGAGTTCATAAGTCAATTACTTGGTCAAAAGTCCATTCATGTTTTGCAATGTTGGAACCTGTAGCACATTGTTTTGTACTTCTGATATGTTCTTTTCTTCTGGTGCTAAATGATCTTTTAGTTTCGCCGATGTAATTTCATTGACATGATGCACAAAGGATTTTGTAAATAAGGTTGCACTGATTGTCTTTAGGAGGTTGAAACTGAAGAATAGGATGCTAGACACATTTCAGAATAGGTTTCTGAGATGGATCTTGGGAGTGTGGTGGCCTGAGCACATCTCAAACAAAGAACTATATAAGAGGTCTGGAGTTCCCTCAGTCAGCAAGAAAGTTAGGAAGAGGCAATGCCAATGGATTGATCATGTTCTGAGGATGCAGCCTGGTGACAATCCTAAAATTGCAATGAGCTGGCTTCCCATGGGGAGGAGGCATGTTGGAAGAACAAGAATGACTTGGTGGAAAATGGCTGAGAAGGAATGGAGTGAAGAGTTGGGATTGGAAAGTTGAGAAGAGGCTTGCCAAGTGGCTGTCAACCAGAGCGAGTGGCGAAGAATCGCTGATGCCCTGTGCCACCTAGGCAGATAGGATAGATGATGAAGAGGACTATACTGCAATAAAGTGTCTCCCAAAATCTTTCCCTTGTCATTGTATATGGTACATGGCATGCCCTGTATAAATAGTACTGCCTGACATCTCATCCTGAGATAGTTGCATGTGACATTACACAGTGTACCAGAAGCATTTTCTACTGGCCTCTGCCAGGTTTTTAAGCCAGGTTTGACTGTACCAAATACTATACAGTTTAATCCCTATTAAACAGCCACCCTAGGGGAAAGAAATAGTGGCCGCTTAAGGACGTTCACGCTAATGGTTTCTGCGCATCCTTACTGTGCACGCAAATTAACATGACACGTCATGCATGAGAGCGCTCGCTACGTAATAAAATGAACAATGATAGGGCAGATAGCCATTGCTATAGTTGCGCCTGGATTTAACGATCTTGGACATTCAGTGACCCCTATTTTTCTTTTTATGGATAATTTTCTCTACCAATTTTCTACCTTTAGCGAAAACATGAAGAAAATCTATCGACTAGAACTTTGAATTTTTTGCAAAATGCAGCATCAAATTTTGTTCTCCTTAGCTCTTCGTTTATCTGTGCGAAGGTTTTAAATGCCTCTTGAAGGGTTAAATTTTGTGAAAGCGTTGGTAACATTTGGAAATATTTATGCAACTGACCCACTTACCTCCATTGACTCACCTTTGATATTTTTAACAATAAACCCCTGTAGATCATGCAAAATTACGTGCGCTAATTTTTCAAAATCAGGGTAGTTTTCCACACGCTTTATCTCTGAAACAGTGACCCCCAATTTTTTTGTATTTCTGATGCAAGTAACTCATTATCTGACCGCAGTAAAAATTAAAAAAAAAATCTATTGACTGAAAAATTTTTGCACAAACGTCCTTAATAGAGTTAAACCCCCCAGAAACGGTCCTCATCAGGACTTTGATTACTGGCTGCTTAATACAGGTGGTTGTTTAATAGGTGGCCGCTAAATAGAGGTTGGACTGTAATATGAAAGTTTGGGTATAATTACCTGGTGGTTTGCGTCTCATCTTGGAAGGAATCAATGGAAGACAACATCATATCACTGGTCCTTTGGAAAAATGATCGGATCATGCGATGCTTTCTCTGAAGGAAAAAAATCATTGCTATTTTAGTTACTCTAACAGCAAAGGCAAGGTATGCTTGTCTTGTTATATTTTTGGGTCAAAAGCTCTCTGTTTTCCTATCAGTAGTTCTGTGTGAAGAGATTATAGTGACTTTTCTAAGACCACAGCCCTATAACCCTGGCCAGGATAACACTTTTAAGTCTAATCCTAACCCTAACCTCCTTAAAAGGAGGCTGGCAACAGTTTCCAACACTTTACCAACAGTTATACTTTCACACCTGAATACTACCTTTGTTTATCAAGTGATGCTATAATATAGGTATCACATAAATGCTCAGTCATTGGTGAATCACCAACAGCAAACTTTATAAGCATAATAGGTAATCATAGCTGCAGTACAACCTGTTAAAAACACCCTTAGTTTTAGCTTTAAGTGCTCATTGCTTAAAAACGAGCTCGAGGTCCCCCTTCTTTTTATTAGAAACTTGTGATAAGCATGACAAGATGCCAGGAGGTGCGGTGACCTCATGGTTAGTGTAAACAAAGGATTTTCTCGAATTTTACAACGAACAAAATCCATGCTTGCATCTAACAATCTTAAGCCAACTTAAAGCTAGCTATAAGGAAGTATTGGACATTGCTCCTAGTCTATACATCACTTTTGACCAAACAAAATGATCTTGCCGTTTTTGACTACAGCACTAGGACGACATGTACAGATGCATGTAATGTAAATCGTGTTAGCAGGCCTGAGTAACAAATAGTTTCTTAACATTGAATTGTTTCGTTTTGCAAATATCACAACACACTCTTGAGTGGAGAAAGGCTTTATGGGCTTGTTTGAAAGCTACGCTGCCCTCACATAACAAGTAGTTCCTTAATGAGCAATGCCTCATTACACTCTTTCATAATTTATTTTCCAAGTTGAGTGGCTCACAGCCACTTTGATTATGGTCAAGCAGCACATCCCAATCCAGTGGTGGGGGGTAACCCCAGGGGGTTGAATTCATTCAAAAATTAGACACCATGTCCTGTCAGTCAAGGAAGAGAGCTGCTCATTACCATAAATAACAGTGTGAAACATTTTCATCCTAAAGAAAACGGGAAATAAATTATGTTGAAAAAGCTTACAAATGTTACCTCCATTCCATCTACAATCAAACTTGTTTTTTCCATCTGCTTTCGAAGGCCCTGTACTTGTTCTGAAAACTGTCTCTTGTATTTTTCCAAGGCACCATAACTGTTTTCCACCACACCGAGTAAGAAGATAAAAAGAAAAAGAAATTGACAACATTAAGAATTTTACTGTATTAAGGCTATTTATTACAGTTACTATACCATTACATATCCCTTTTGAGACAGTCACTTTGACGTGGTGGGGAGGCTTGTGTGTTTCTGTGACCTGGAGAGCTTAGCTGGTGGGAGTGTGACTCTTGGCAGGGTCGCCCATGCCAGAAAGGTCAATAGGTAGAAACCAGACAAAGCACAGTCCACTGGTCCTCCTAGTAGGGGGTTGTGCATCAGGCTTACAACATGATCATAGAAAACAACATGTGCTACCAAAACTACACCAAGTTTGATCACCTTTCTGGAAGATGCAACAGGGACCAACACTTCACGAGAGGGATGTACAATGAACACCGGTTGTGAAAGCCAGCTGGAAGCCAGGGGTTGGCTGCCGTCATTCCTGCATCCTTGAAGAAGCAGATGAAGGTGGGATTCTGGAATATAAGGACAAGGCATGCCACAGGGAAGGCTGTGCAGGTGGCTAGTGAGATGAGGGGATATGAGCTTTAAATACTAGTTATTAGCAAAAGTAGATGGAACGGGTCTGGAAGAGTGAGATTACTGACAGGAGAGACAGTAATTTTCTCTGGGCAAGATGACAAGTTGCACTCCATCAGCAGGGAGTGACAATAATGATGACGGAGAGATCTGCAAAGAGCCGCATGGAATGTAAACCAGTAAGTGCCAGGCTACTTACTGCTAGATTCTACTCTAGGCTATCAGTAATACAGTACTATGCGCCAACAAATGAGACCAGCAAGGATGAGAAGAACGATTTCCACAAGCAACTGCAAGATCTGGTTGACGAAGTGTCATGACATGATCCACTGTTTTTTTTGGTGATTTTAATTAAAGGATTGGGAAAGACAATCAAGGTTTTGAGCATGTGATGGGAAAGGAAGGGCTTGGAGAGAGGAATGAGAATGGCGACCTGTTGATCAAGCTTTGTGATACAAAGCAATCTGGTTGTAGGAGGAAGCATTTTTCTCCATAAAGATATTCATAAGACCACATGGATATCACCTTCAGAACAGTCAAAATCATATTGATCATGTGCTTATCAGTAGAAAGTTTAGACGTTCCTTACTAGATGTTAAGGCTAGGAGGAGAGCTGATATTGGGAACGACCATGAACTGGTTACAATTAGAGAAAAGTTCAAACTTGCAAGGATTGCCAAACCATTTAGAAAGAGAACATTTTCTGTGGTAAGGCTAGGAGAGCAAGACGTCAGGGGTGTGTTTCGGATCAGTTGCGCAACTGATTTCAAGATTTAGACATGGACTGTGATGTGGACAAGGCTTGGAAGAACATAAAAGAAACATCAAAAACGAGTGAGGAGGTTCTGGTGTATAGAAAGAAAATGGCAAAGCCATGTTTAAGTAGAGAATCCTGGAAGAAGGTCAAAGAAAGTAAAACTGTTAAGAGGAAGATGCTAGGTACTAGGTTGAAGACAATCGAAACAAGTTACAGATAGAATATCACCTACGGATGCCGAAGTGAAGGGAAGTGTTAGAAAAGATAAAAGAGCATTTGTGGATAGTAAAGGACATGAAGCTTGGAATGATGCAAGTTGTCAAGGTTCAACACAAACGTAGACATCACAACCATGGTGGAGAGCTTAAGGTATCATGGCAGGTGATTTCTTACGAAAAATGCGAAATCTTTTTTTGCTGTTCAAATTCAGAAGACTGAGATAAATATTTTGCAAAAAAAAGGTAAAAAAAGCATTTTAGTGTTTTAGATAAAGAAAAAACTATTTTTGAATCTTATCAACCCTTTATGGTGCATTGACACCACTAATTAAACTTCATCGCCAGTTGTCACGTGTCATGCGAATTGTGGTGTGATATTTCATTTGTGCATGCGAACTGTTCTTGATCTGGTTGTTTAATCGCAAGTTAGCTTTCATCCTTGTCAAATTTTCTTTGTCAGGATGAAAAGTTTTTGCCCATTTTCATCTTTGAAGAAGCTGAAGAGGCAAAAATCTGGTGAAACCCACAGATTCAGTGCCGAACAGGATCTTTAGCTCTGAGCAACCACGGGTTGCACTGTAATCAAGAAGAATGGTTAAGGGAACTCGAGGACACCAGTCCCACCAATGAAGCTGAAGGACAAACTACAACAAGTGCTAGTTGCATGAAATTGCTGGAGAAACGACGTGATTCTGAAACAGGGCTCGAAATTAAAAAAAATGTCTGGTTGCAAATTTGCAATTAGTTACAGAAATTTGGTCGCAACTTTTAAAATGTTGGTCGTGAAATTAATTGAGGCCGTTTAATTAAGAAATAAGTAGACTTTGAAATGATTAACGCTTTAATTTTCATTGTTTCAACAGCTCTCATGTCATTTTGATATTTAATAGTACTGAACGTTTAATGTCTTAGACAACACTAGTCCATCTAAACGATCAAGTTGAACCTGTGTACATAAATTAAGGCCCGTTCCATAAATTATGGCACATAAATTAGTGCCTGTTATTTTAGTCAAAGCGATAGATTTCCAAATCATGAACAGATATTACAGCTGGAAACTGCAGTTCTTATATGCCTCACATGTACTGGGCAGAAATATTAGCTTATGTAACAAAATTCCTTTAGTTTTACCTTTGCAGGTTTTCCACCAATGACAAAACAAGTAACAAATTTTTTTTATATTAGACTTTACACCTGAAGTATCAGGGGTGTTACTGAAGTGATTATTCAAAGAACCCTGAAGGACTGAATCATTCAATACGATACGTGCCATGACTCATGCACCAGGGCAATCCGCCATCTTTGTTTGCTATTAAACCTTGTTTTCATGTATACGTAGAGTCGTACTCCACTTGATTGGAACCGCATTATTTTAAATCTATTTGTCTTTTAACCGTTACTGTCAAACAAAGAAACAATGAAGCTGTAAGTACTCATTTTTTACCAACGAAAGTTATTGAATCAAGTTTTTCTGCTGTTTCTGTTCCTAGGATCTTGCTCAGTGACTAACGATTGTATGCAGTTGTTATTTAACTAAAAGCCATTTAGAAACCTTGAAAGAGGGATGGTGAATGATATCTAATCTCCGTGTAGAGTACTGCAAGAATGCAATTTTTTCTTACTTCTGGCTGTCAGCCTAACTCCTTGGTTATTTCAGCAACCATGAAAAACAAAAACAACAACAAACAACACATGCGATATGAATGTGACTTCATAAAAACAAAGAGAAGACTACATGATGTAGAGACCCAGTCAAAGAAAATTTGAGTATTTGACAAAATTTGGCTCTAAAATGCTTTGCAGAGATGCGAGACTCCATTCACTACCCCTTTAACAGTAACTGTCTGATCAAATACCATACACAGTTTTGTTAGTTATGCACAGCCACTGCTGTAATTCAAGCAATGAGGTCGTCGTGCCCTTTCTCCCTTAGATCTGTCACATTCAAACCTCTGGTTGACTGCTGGAATTGGATCAAATTCAGCGACAGCGGGACCCTCTGGTAACAGGCGAATCAAATCTTCCAAAACAGATACAGTCAAGGTTGCCCTGGTGCTGCTTTTAATTCGATTAATTCGATGCTGAGCTGAAACAGCATGCTCGCATTGTGCAGCAGAAATAGGGAGGACCAGAACTAGCTCCACTAGATGTAGGACATCTTTGAAATCGTTCTTGTAGGGCACTTTGGTCAGTAACGTCTGCCAGAGGCTGCCTAAATCAAGCTTGCGGAACTGCCCATTGACCATGATTTTTAGGGAAATCCACCGATCCTGAATAGCGGAGATCTTGCATCCTGCTCTATCTAAAATGGGCTGAAACCTTCATGTCAAGTGAATGATTTCTTCACTGCCAAAATCGAGCAGGTCACCAGGGCGCATTGGCCAACTGTCAATGTTGAAAACTAGCATGTCGCTAACCACTTTCATTGAGTCATAACTCAGGCTTTTGCCTACTTGGCTCTTGCTACCTAGCAGCACACCAAACCTATCACAAAGACCTTGCAAAGTGAAAATCGCAGCGGTTTCCATTTCACACTGAAGGCTTCGTGATGTGCTTCCTCCTTGTTTGGCCACTTTACCATGGATGGAACCTGTCAAAGTCACCCCTTGAAATTTTTGACCGCCTTCCACCTTCTCCCAGAATTTGGTGAGATGGCCATCTGCCACTGGACAATGGGCAACACTTTCAACTCTCAGTACTGTTTCCTTGAGATGGGACATTACTGAGGAGAGTACAATATCATTTTATTGCAGTCGCAGACTCAGCTGACTGAGAATGGCGAACATGTCTGCCAAAAAATGACAAAATGCAGCGAAATGAATATCCTTCATCTTTTGAGAGACATGCTACGCTCTCCCCTGGATTTCTGCATTTTTGTAGTTGACACTGAGATCTTGCATATGCATCAGCACAGCAGCATACTGACCAGACTTGGACTCTGTGGCAGATTTATGGCTCACAAACACTTTGAGTGCTCGGCTAATGTGCGGAAGCTAGAGGGTCCCTTTGACTTGCGTTGGCTTCAAGATATTAATTTCTAGCTCATCCGCTATAGACTTCAAAGCCCTAACACTTTTAGAGCTATAATGGTATGTTTTCTAAATTAGATGGAGGATATGTACACATCCTCCACAGACTTGCAGCTGCCTTGGAGCTCTAGCAGGGCAAGCTCAAGCCTTTGAGGTAGACAATGGAAGTCAACAAGGTAAGAATTTCTTTTTTGAGTAATGCAGCAAGGCCTGCTTTACCAAGGTTAACGGAGGCCCCATCAGCCCCAAAAGCAGCCAGCCTCTCCTTCCAGTCTTTGACCCCCGCTTCTTCAAAGGTAGTACTGATAGACTCCTTTAGCCCTAAAATAGGTTTATTAAAATAAAACATGAACGGTCCACCCTACGACACTTGATTTAAGACAAAAGTATAAAAATAATTACACTACACAGTCCATCTGCCCATAAACCTTTGTTGAAAAAGGTATAAAGCTACTGCTGAACAGAGCTAGATGTAATTGATAATGTTTGCAGTTCCCCTCTGTGAAAGCACTTTGCTCTCATAGTTCTCTCTTCAAGTAATATTTAATGACACAAAGGCGGTTTTGAAACTATTAAAAATTACGTTTCTTAACACCTTAGCAGTTGAAATCCGAGTTGCATTTTAACTGTTTCCTGGGAACGAGTGTAATGCATAAGGGGCTATAGGGCTAAGTATTTTGCATTGTAAGTAGTTTTTTTGGTCTGTTAGTGTGGAAATAAATTAAAAAAAGTGTCTTTCTGGTACAATGGTTCCTTTGTCAATGATTGGGGAGTTCATAAGTCAATTACTTGGTCAAAAGTCCATTCATGTTTTGCAATGTTGGAACCTGTAGCACATTGTTTTGTACTTCTGATATGTTCTTTTCTTCTGGTGCTAAATGATCTTTTAGTTTCGCCGATGTAATTTCATTGACATGATGCACAAAGGATTTTGTAAATAAGGTTGCACTGATTGTCTTTAGGAGGTTGAAACTGAAGAATAGGATGCTAGACACATTTCAGAATAGGTTTCTGAGATGGATCTTGGGAGTGTGGTGGCCTGAGCACATCTCAAACAAAGAACTATATAAGAGGTCTGGAGTTCCCTCAGTCAGCAAGAAAGTTAGGAAGAGGCAATGCCAATGGATTGATCATGTTCTGAGGATGCAGCCTGGTGACAATCCTAAAATTGCAATGAGCTGGCTTCCCATGGGGAGGAGGCATGTTGGAAGAACAAGAATGACTTGGTGGAAAATGGCTGAGAAGGAATGGAGTGAAGAGTTGGGATTGGAAAGTTGAGAAGAGGCTTGCCAAGTGGCTGTCAACCAGAGCGAGTGGCGAAGAATCGCTGATGCCCTGTGCCACCTAGGCAGATAGGATAGATGATGAAGAGGACTATACTGCAATAAAGTGTCTCCCAAAATCTTTCCCTTGTCATTGTATATGGTACATGGCATGCCCTGTATAAATAGTACTGCCTGACATCTCATCCTGAGATAGTTGCATGTGACATTACACAGTGTACCAGAAGCATTTTCTACTGGCCTCTGCCAGGTTTTTAAGCCAGGTTTGACTGTACCAAATACTATACAGTTTAATCCCTATTAAACAGCCACCCTAGGGGAAAGAAATAGTGGCCGCTTAAGGACGTTCACGCTAATGGTTTCTGCGCATCCTTACTGTGCACGCAAATTAACATGACACGTCATGCATGAGAGCGCTCGCTACGTAATAAAATGAACAATGATAGGGCAGATAGCCATTGCTATAGTTGCGCCTGGATTTAACGATCTTGGACATTCAGTGACCCCTATTTTTCTTTTTATGGATAATTTTCTCTACCAATTTTCTACCTTTAGCGAAAACATGAAGAAAATCTATCGACTAGAACTTTGAATTTTTTGCAAAATGCAGCATCAAATTTTGTTCTCCTTAGCTCTTCGTTTATCTGTGCGAAGGTTTTAAATGCCTCTTGAAGGGTTAAATTTTGTGAAAGCGTTGGTAACATTTGGAAATATTTATGCAACTGACCCACTTACCTCCATTGACTCACCTTTGATATTTTTAACAATAAACCCCTGTAGATCATGCAAAATTACGTGCGCTAATTTTTCAAAATCAGGGTAGTTTTCCACACGCTTTATCTCTGAAACAGTGACCCCCAATTTTTTTGTATTTCTGATGCAAGTAACTCATTATCTGACCGCAGTAAAAATTAAAAAAAAAATCTATTGACTGAAAAATTTTTGCACAAACGTCCTTAATAGAGTTAAACCCCCCAGAAACGGTCCTCATCAGGACTTTGATTACTGGCTGCTTAATACAGGTGGTTGTTTAATAGGTGGCCGCTAAATAGAGGTTGGACTGTAATATGAAAGTTTGGGTATAATTACCTGGTGGTTTGCGTCTCATCTTGGAAGGAATCAATGGAAGACAACATCATATCACTGGTCCTTTGGAAAAATGATCGGATCATGCGATGCTTTCTCTGAAGGAAAAAAATCATTGCTATTTTAGTTACTCTAACAGCAAAGGCAAGGTATGCTTGTCTTGTTATATTTTTGGGTCAAAAGCTCTCTGTTTTCCTATCAGTAGTTCTGTGTGAAGAGATTATAGTGACTTTTCTAAGACCACAGCCCTATAACCCTGGCCAGGATAACACTTTTAAGTCTAATCCTAACCCTAACCTCCTTAAAAGGAGGCTGGCAACAGTTTCCAACACTTTACCAACAGTTATACTTTCACACCTGAATACTACCTTTGTTTATCAAGTGATGCTATAATATAGGTATCACATAAATGCTCAGTCATTGGTGAATCACCAACAGCAAACTTTATAAGCATAATAGGTAATCATAGCTGCAGTACAACCTGTTAAAAACACCCTTAGTTTTAGCTTTAAGTGCTCATTGCTTAAAAACGAGCTCGAGGTCCCCCTTCTTTTTATTAGAAACTTGTGATAAGCATGACAAGATGCCAGGAGGTGCGGTGACCTCATGGTTAGTGCGCTCGTCTCCGGATCGAGCGGTCCGGGTTTGAGCCCTGGCCGGGGACATTGTGTTGTGTTCATGGGCAAGACACTTTACTCTCACAGTGCCTCTCTCCACCCAGGTGTATAAATGCGTACCGGCGAACTTAATGTTGGGGGTAACCCTGCGATGGACTAGCATCCCATCCAGGGGGGYGTAGAAATACTCGTAGTCGCTTCATGCTACAGAAATCGGGATAAGCTCCGGCCTGATGGGCCACTTGGCTCGCATGCAGACTTTTTTTTAATGACAAGATGCCACTTTTGGCAAAGTTTAAAAAATTCTGTCTACCTGGTAGGTTCAGAACTACCTTCAAATTTCAAAAATTTAAGGTGGCTCTGAACTCCCTTGAGAGGTTCTTTTAAACATTGGCTTAAGTTCCATCTTATCCTGCAAATCAAAATTCTATAACAAATCAAAGGGCTCTTTTGTTATGAACTATTGGTACAGTTGAACCCCATATTTTGAACCCTAAAGGGAAACAATAGTTCAATATAGCAGGGGTTAAGTTTGGGTAGACATCATTATTCTTGAACACTTGTGTGATAAGAAAGTATAAGAAAGTAACTATATTCCTCATGGGGATTGGAAAATCCAGAAGGTGGGCATTATCTGGGACCACATAGTGTTGCTGCATTCCATTGTAACCAGAGTGAGCCATGATTTGTTGATGGTTGCCTTTGGAAACCATTGATCACAACTTAAGTCTGGTTTTCACTAGCATATAAGCATAGGTATGAGCTGACATACACAGACGCAGTAAGATGTTGATAATTAACAATTTTTGTTGGAAATTTCCCAAACAAAAGGTACCAATTATCAACATCTCACTGCGTCCACTTATGTTGACTCATGCTTATTCTTATGTGCTAGTAAACCCAGCCTTTAAGTTTAGTATCCAAACCATCCCAGAAATGCTAGTGCAAAAACCTGGAACTCAATCTCCCCAAAGTTTCTTTCAAGGGCAATAGGTTACTTAAGAGTAAAAAATATGAGGGTGTCCAAAAATTTAAAATAGGATACTGGGTGAAATAGTAGAGATATCTATACAGTTGAATGAAAATGCTGTGTAGCACTTATTGTTAAGATTGTTAAGGTCATGTATTGTTGAGGTAGAAAACAAAAACTGTTTTTGAAACACGCTAAAAGTGTTAAAAAGTCATTCACTTTTTAGAACCAATTTTCAATTTCCTAGGATTTTAGTCAGACTGGTAGTATCCTTGTTGTAGGGTAGCAATGAGGCTTAGGCTTTAGTCCATCAGCTGAGTCCCAAAAATTTGGTTTTATGGCTCACTTTAGGGGAACAGCCCAAACATGTCTTACATTAATCTTTGACTACTAAGTATCAAAAAATATATGAAACCAAGGATAGAATGGTAGCTTTCACTTTGTAAATCAAACTATAAATCAGCCTGTCATACCCTCATTTTGTTGCCATCTTGGATTTTTGGGGGAGACTGCAAAGCTGCTTGTACTCTTTTAACATGAACAAATCATGTTTCAAAAACAAATTCAGAATGTGATTCAATTATAAACATGATTTCCCTTTATTCTAATACATCATATATGACGTCACCACGTCTGATAATTGGTCACAATCTGACCAGGTTGCACTTATAATCAATGCAACAAAATTGTGGGGTTTTCAAAATTATTCCAGGAAAGAAATACATTGCATTCCAAAAAAAATTTGCCTGTTTCCTACCTCCAGCCCCAGTTTCCAAACATGTGGCCTCACAAACATTCAAGTTTTATGTCCTGTTGCGAAGGTGTTTTCTCAGCACCATGATCAATGGTGGACAAAGGCATTAGATGCCGTTCGTTGCTTTCAACACCAGCCCATTTAAGAGATATTTCTTCATAGACAACTTTATATAGCACTGCTGGGATTTGAAATCACAGACCAATTTTGGACGCTTCAACTGAAAGCGAATTCCCCGAAAATCCCAACAAATAATTTGGAAGTTTTACCTCAAAGAGGATGGAAAGGGGGGTACCAATCACGCATCATGCTGAATTTTTCTATTAAATCATGTATCACAGAGAATTTTTTCCACCAATCACGTGTCACGTAAAAAGAAGTAAGTACATCACCAATTTTACTCTCTTGACCCTAAAAGCATAGTTAAAAGTAGAACTCTGCTGATACAACCACAGAAATGTTGAAGACGTGTTATACCATGACCATGCGTATTATCACAAAAACTATACAGGCTAACCTCATCCCATTCCTGGACAATATGCATCACATATCTATCAGAATGGGACAAAACAAAGCTGGCAAGACCATTGAGAGCAGCATCAATTGTGACTGTAAGATGGGAGAAGGCTACATCAGGGTGAGCGCTAATTTTGCAGAGATTTTGAAATGGATGCTCAATGACACAAGGTGTAGTGTGTACAGGATGCTTCTTTCCAAGCATCCTATTACTTCATCCAAGACCTATATTCATAAGAAGTTGGCTCCAACATGCATTAAAGAAGAATGAATGCTGTAGGAAAGCTGGTGAAGCTGCTCAAGGAAACAAGAGGCAGTGTTTACAAGCTTGTCCACAGGGGTAGAAGTGACAACAGAAGTAAGCAATGACTTTCTCCAGACCAAGAGCTACAAGGGAAAGAATGCAATGAATGACTTTGTAGTGAACCACTACTCATCCAATCCCACTTCAGGTTACCTTGATCCACTGAAGAAAGGCAAGCTGCCTTAAGGATCTGTAGGCTGTGTGCAAGGTTTGCAACAAGAATCTAGTACTTCCTTGTCATATGTATTTGCTCAGATGGCACTTCTCAGACAGTTTCATTGGATTGACATTGTCTTTGTATGGTCTCTCGCCAATCCTTATGGACTCCGCAAAAGACAAGAAAAGCAAACTCTCCCAACAGAGAACCAGAAAATGCAACCAGTATGTTCAAAGGAATGTCAGTCTTACAGAAGTTGAAGATCACCTCTGAAACTACATTCTATGTGGTCACTACGAGAGTGTTTGAGTTCAGTGGTAATGAGCACCGCCAGCAGGTGCCAGTGTGTATTGCGAAGTATCGATCAAGAATGTCGAAAGATTGAAAAGAGTGTCTACATCTGAACCTGTACAATACATATGAGTTAAGTGAGGTCAAAATGGTTGGATATTAGGCTTGTTTTGAATGAGGGCAACATCCAGCCATCTTCACTGAACAATAAAGAATGTACCATAATTATAATTATATTATATGGGTTAAAGAACACCAAAAATTGAAATTTTTCTTGCAGGACACAGTGGGTAATCCCGAGCGGGCAAGATAGTGCCATCTTGACCCCTCAGGTAGCCAAACATAGCACAGGATTCTGTTTATCTTTTGCAGTCCATGCTGCACCTGAAGCAGTTCCTTCTCGTAGTACATGTGGCCTTGTTGATCACCTGTCTTTGGCCCCACACTGAGAAATCTACCTCTATGCCAGATGTCTTGATGTACCTCTCCTAGTGTTTCATTTGCATCTTCCTCTGCAGGTCTCTGATACAGGTCTTCAAAATCAAGCATTTGAGAAGTGGCTCCAACAGGAAGCCTGGTCCAGAACTTTCAACTTGGGTATATCACGTCTGCAGGAGCAATCTTAGGGGTTTCTAATCCTGCTGACATTGAAGGGGTACCCATGCCATAAAGGTATGTCTGATTGGCAAAAATGCCCACATGACTACTTTGGCCTCCTTTTCTAACTGAGAGTAACTGCTCTCGATACCCATGATTCCAAATATGAAACAATATGTGACTGGTCTCTATCACCTGGCCTGAGGATCATACTGCTTCGTGGTGGCCACCATTCCCCCTAAACAAGCATAGGTCTGAAGACTGGTCTTGCATCGTGGATCAAAGTATGACATTATTGTATCACCTGTTAACATTGTTTTCACCTACACAATGACTTTTAGCACTCTAAGTTTCACAGGAACTGGACATTGTCCTGGATCAGTTTGCTCTAGTGAGGGAGGGAGTAAACCTTGGCTGCTGACTACAGAGGTCCTGCTGCCTTTAAAGCTGCCACTTTTTCAGGGTCTGGTGATCTGCCTTTACTTGAGAACTCCTTTCCAAAGACCTTTACTACTTGGAGGTTGAACCTACTTTTCTTCAAGCCGAGGAAGAGGCCTTGCTCTTGCCACAGATGCAGGATATGCCTGTGTGCTTTGTCATGTTCCCCTGGGGTTTCACCAAAAACTAGGATGTCACCACAAATGTTGGTGGTGGTGGGATCCTGTGCCACCACCTTGGGAATACCTTCATTGCAGATCTCTGCTGAGCTGTTGACACCAAAATGCATTCTTTTGAAGACTTTAAGCCCTCTATGAGTGTAAAATGTGGGGAGCTTTTAGCTTTCATCTGCCAGATTGAGGTTCAAGTATCTATCATTCATGTCCAGGTGCTAGACATACCTGGTACCATGGAGTGTTGTTTCCAGCTCTCTAAAGGTGAGGATGGTGTATCTGGTTATATTTACCTACCTGTTGCTGTCCAACATGTACAGGTTTGTCCTGATATTGTCTCTACATCTTTCTTTGGGATGAGAATAACATTACTGCACCATTGTTTCTTGCATCCTCTATGAAATCAATGTATCTCCATTTGTCGAAGACCTCACTGAACTTGAGCAGGAGAGACACTCTTTTCTGTTTTTACACTGTGCCTCTTGTATCTTGGTCTATGTGTAACTTCACCTTGACTTCTTTCAGCTTTCCTAGGCCTGGGAACACATTCTTATATTCCTAAACCAGGTCTAGTGGCACTTGTCTCCCTTGACTGGTAATGGTCTGCTTGAGTCATGTCTAGGTGGTACTCTACTAAACCCATATGTTCGTTAACCTGGCAGCTTAGCAGTAAAGTATTATCCTGACCTTTGTCTAAGTAAGAAGGCTCTGTTAGCTTCTCTCCTTGAGCAAGTGCTACTGTAAATTTTCCTAGTATATGTTATGCTAGCCCCTTTCCGTCTCTCAACCTAAACTTAAAGCTCCAATGCTTGCACTTACATTTACTAGAAATCCTGTTCCTTTTTGTCTGGTTTCGACTTAGTTAGCCATGTTTGTTTCAACGTCAGCACCAATTAAAAAGACAACAGGCACAAATACAACTTAGCTGCCATGTTGGCGCAACTCTAGACAAGAACTAAGGTAACCGGCCCTGGAAAGTTTCCAAACGCAAAGGGCATGAGCCCCAATCGCTAGCAGTACAATACTACACTGAGTAAATTTTTGTTTGTGTTGAAATACTGTAAGTTATGTAAACTAAATTTAATGCTTACACAGTGATAAGGAATGTCCACAATAAAAATGCTACTCACACGAACAGCCTGGAGAGTTTTACTTCCAGCCAGGTTTATTAGCTCCTGTACCTCTCTCCTATAAACAAAGAATAAGTTGAGGTGAACAGGAGGAAAATGGTAAATTTACATTCATTGCACATTGTAAAAGAAGTTAGAGCCAACTGAGTAACTATGGATTCTTGATATGCCATATGAAGTGATAGTCAAAGTGATCCATTTCTTCCCTATAATTCCCTCAGTCACTGAAGGGTCACTAGTACCTGATAACCTCTTCATCACTCATTCCTTCTTCAGGCTTTTGTTGATTGTCTAGATAGAATATATGCTCATTAGTAAATCGTTTTCATGCGCCGTCATTAAATTTCAAAATCCAAAAGTAGAAAGCCACCAAAGATTTTATCCTTGTCAGGCATGAGGGGATCTAAATTTATATCTGTCTACATCTTTTCAGCTCAATAGCAAGTTTTGTTTGGAGACTAGCACATTTTGACTTTCAGAGTTATAGCAGTGCCTAACATAAAGCTACCATCAAATTAGTAATAAATATACTTATCTTGTGATTTTTAGCCTTTTTAGGAGTTAAAGTATTATGAAAAGTGCTTGTGTAAATGTTGGTTTAGTTCAGATAATCAGTCGATTAGATAGCCAAAATATGTTCCAGATGTTTATGTTATTTTCTAGCCACCATATTGGTGTACCATGGGAAAACGCACAGACCTAAAACTTGGAGAAGTGTCTTTATTTATCTCCTATAACATCAAAATTTCTTAACTTTATCCACTGAATGGCTTTCCATTTATTTATTTCTGCAGACATTAAATGAGGTCACACCAAAAAGTGTACGTTTTTGTCTTCTCCTATAGCAAGTAAACATTCAGCTTTTCCACTCACAGAAGTTTCAGCCTCTAAAATGTCTGCTATCCTGAAGAAATTCGTCTTGAAAGAAGCCTAAATGTCTACTTTGGAGGCCACCATTTTGAAACTGTACTTGACAGCCAGGCTGTGTTTAAGTGACATCATTCCATCCACCTCAAAATTGGCAGGAAGGAGAAAAACTTGCAGCTGACTTTGCATCCTTCACAAGGTCAGCAAAATGTATTTTTTCCACGCGACTATCCACTTCACTATCTTCACTGCTATCATTTTCGGAGTTTGGAGCATGTTTGGCTCAAAAAAATACTGCTCAAGGGCAGCCATAACCAAGAGTGGTAGTTAAATGGCTTGTCGGAAGCCATGCTGACAAAATCTCTTGCACAGAATGACGTCAGAAAAATGCAGTCTGGTTGCTGAGTACTGTTCAAAATGGCTGCAATGATGTCAAATTTTGGGCTTCTTTGGAGACAAGTTTCATGAGGAAAACCTCCACTTTAGAGGCTGAAACTTTGGCGAGTGGCTAAACTTAGTGCAAGGTTTTTATTAACATTGAGTGACCTTCTCCTTTTAAGAATGAAACATGTTAAAAATTTCATGGGACATGATCGCCTGAAAGACCTTTTGCGTCAAATTAAGTTCATACTGCATACCTTTAAAGGTGTCTCACACCTAGAGATTTAACACGACCAGTATTAATTGTAGATACCTAAAGCCCTATATCAAATGTCTCAATGCGAGCATCCAAATCACCTTTTTAATGGTACAAGTCAACGTGAATTTGTTTTTCACTTACTTAATTTGTCCCTCAGTTTCCAGACCCAAAGCAAAGCATTGCTATATTCGAATTCTTTGAAAAGTGACAGAATATTTTTGAAACAAGATTTTAAAATGTGGAAAATTAAGATTATGAAAAAATATTTCAAAATAAAGAATTCAGACACGTTTTTGTTGTTTCTTATGTCAAACTAGCTACTGTCCAAATTTGACAGCAGACAAGAAAATTCCCTTTGACTTGTAGCTTTCAAAAAGAACCCAAAAGATAATTCAGACACTCACATTTAAAGGTCGTGAAAAATTAGACAATTCATCTTATTCTAAAATTCTTGGTGTAGTGTGATAGTCAGCTCTATAAGCTTTAATTTGATATATGGGTTCAGGTATCTACATCGCTTGGACATGAGATACCTCTAAAGGTGCTCTAAAAGGTATACAGTAACCTTAACTTCGATGACAGCGTGGAAAGAAAGTAGGGATCCTTTAAGTTCAGATGTCAATGATACTATTTTGAAAAAATGTTGACATCTTGAAAGAAGGAAGATGCTTGCATGCATGACTTAGTGGGGAAAGTTTTATTAGCTGCTTTGACCTGATAATTCCCCTACTGAACTTGACATTCACTCGAAGAAGAACACTCATTCTTTGTTATAACATTGGGAAGAAACTGGACAGTTACATTGATATGTCAGACGATTGTTTGAATATGTGTGGCCAGGAGATGACATATTGAAACAGTTAAAACACTGCAGGGTAATTACTTACAAGGCTTATCTTCATATGAAAGTTTCCTTGGCTTGCAAATATGTTGATCTCGATATGATTGCAGGTGAGCCTCACTAACACGAAGTGGTTCTTTATAACAACGTTCTGAATGTTCACCTCTCAGTCTCCCTGAATTAAAACATATACACGAATTTATTGTTGCTCCCTACAATGGGCTTTTCAGCACCAATGTAAAATAGCTAATGGTTTACTTTGTGTATATAAATACCCAGATTCAATATAAATTGCAGCCACTTTTAATGGCAGATGCACATGCATGTCAAGATCAGCAAAGCCAAAAAAAAAATGCAGGGTAACATTTTGGTCTTGATGGAATGAAATGAAAGTTCCAGAATTCTGGATTTTACGCTTCAGTTCAGTCTGTTTTACTTAAGGGTGTGCCCATGAGAAAACCAGGCAGAACCAGGCAGGAGGTGATAAGGCTCAAATCACTGATTTTGCTTGAACTTGGCACAAATGTTGGGTTTGGTGAGTAAATGATCATGGCAAAAACCTATGTCAAAATATTTTATTCCCTTCAAGTTAGGGGGACCCCCTCCAAAAATGGCTGTTTATCACTAATTTATGCATATTTAATTAGCTGTCTTTGATTTAGTATTTCTACAACAAGAAAGGCCACGCAAAAATGAAATCCACTGGATCATGTTTTACTATTATTAGTCTCAAAGCATAGATATTCATTTGAACCAGACAATTTGATCTCTCTCCGTGGCTCCATCTTAAGTAAGGTGCATATTTTGTAGTGTTGTGAATAGCCTATAATTGAAGGCAAATATCTGCACTGAGCAACAGTAAATACGCATTATTCTAACACGGGTAGTGAGAGCAATCACTAAAGTTCTCAAAAAAGCCATAAAATGTTTGGGGACTTCAATACTTTTTCTGTGCTGGCATACTGTTCACTTAACACTTTACGATTTCTGGCTATTTCATGAACATCGACTAAAACACAAAAGCCATTTTTCTGTCTTAACCTAACTCAAAATCAACAAGAAATATCTACCTAAGTATTTTCTTATCAATTTCCACTTTATGTTCAGTGAAAAGAAGTCCTTGAGACATTTCTGTCAAATATTTTCAGAACTACATTTTGTGACATTCTCACAGATATCAATAAAATGCAGCAGAAGAAGATTCAACGTATACATGTATGTTCCCTCAACTTAGGTTTTGAGGTGTGAAGTAGAATGGAAACAAGAAATAACTACTACATACATGTCACTTAGATGCAATTTTGTGCTCTTGTTGATTCTTGGATAGTGAAATGTCCAGTTTTGTGTCATCTGTTCCGTTGCTTTGACCGGAGGTTTAAACAGAATATCCATTTGCCATCCTTTGTGAGAGGTGCGGTGGCCTCATGGTTAGCGTGCTTGACTCTGGATCAAGCGGTCCGGGTTCCAGCCCTGGCCGGGGACATTGTGTTGTGTTCTTGGGCAAGACACTTTACTGTCACAGTGCCTCTCTCCACTCAGGTGTATAAATGGGTACCGGCGAATCTAATGCTAGGGGGTAACCCTGCGATGGACTAGCATCCCATCCAGGGGGAAGTAGAAGTACTCCTAGTCACTTCATGCTACTGAAACCAGGATAAGCCCCAGCCTGATGAGCCACTAGGCTTGCATGCAGACTTTACCTTACCCTTTTTGTTGTAGAAGTACTAAATCATAGACAGCTAATTAAATATGCATAAATTAGTGACAAATGGCCATTTTTGGAGGGAGTTCCCCTAACTTGAGGGGAATGAAATATTTTTTAAAAGTTTTTGCCATGATCATTTAATCACCAAACCCAACATTTCTGCCAAGTTTGAGTGAAATTGGTGATTTGAACTGTATTATCTCCTGCCTGGTTTTCTCATGGACACACTCTTAAATATAATATAAAAGGCCATAGATGGCCCATCTCAAAATGTTATGCCGCAAAATGTACAAACTGTAATAATCACCACAAAATGTAATAACAATCACCACAAAATGTAACACTTGTGCAAAATATAACATCAACGGAAAATGTAATAACTTTTCAACACAAAACGTAGAAACTTTTTAAACGCAAAATGTAATAACCCAAAAATGTAATACAAGATAGCATGTAAAGTTAAAGTCCTAAATCAGAGGTCTACGGTAAAAATGTGCATGTATGTTCAAGCAGGTTATTGGTGGGGATGGACTGGGGCAACAGAGAGGGGGATCATCAGTGAAAAATAACATGTTTTGGGAGGTGGCCCTAGACCCTTTCTTTGTTTTCACAAACATGGGTTATTTTGTAATAGCAAAAATAGTAAAAATTTTGCTTATTTTTTTATACAAAGCCATAAATGTATCACTATGCAATTTTTGTTGAAGATTTGTTTCATGGTTGGAGGGAGGGCTAATCTGAAAAAAAAGTACATAGGAAACAATAACAACCATTTATTAACTTCTCAGTAGTGAATGCAACTATCACCTGCATCTGTTGACACTTATCATTCGGGTACGGCTATTTATGAACTCAAAATTCGATCTTCCTCTCATTATTTAAACAGTTTTGTTTACTGTTGCCCCTACTTCACTCACTGATTTAATATTTTACCAGCAGATGGCAAATATTCTCAACAGTACTATAAAAATAAAATAAAATTGAGGATAAAGTCTGGATGAAGATTAAGAATGGCTGACTGTTAGGATCGAGAACCGCCGGTCAACGACCCATTTGGCAAATCGCTCATATTTTGCCCAAAGATACCCTTAGGTGACCTAATTCTAAAAATCATATTTCAAGGTT